CTTCTTCTTCTTCTTCTTCTTCTTCTTCTTCTTCTTCTTCTTCTTCTGCTGCTGCTGCCTCCATCTGTTGTAGTGTTTGTTGATAGGTAGCAAGCGCCATTTCTAAAAAAAGGAAGGCTTCTTTTACACCATCTTTGCCATCTTTTTTTGTTTGCTCATATTCTTTTCTCAGTTCCTCAACAGAAAAAGCCATTATAAATCTTTTCTTTTCTTTCTTTTTTCCCCTCTTTCTTCTTGCAACAACCAAGATATTTCAAAAAATAGAACAATCCCAAAGTCATCAATCAATCCAAGCCAAGACAAAGTTCTCACTTTCTCTTCCTGGGGTAGTATCAATCAAAAAAAGAAAGTCCAAATCTGTATCTTAAAGCCTTATTGCAATACATTTCAGTCTTCAGATCCTTAAGGCATCTCCTCCAACAAAATCTTAACATATAAATATATTTTTTGTCCTCTCCCTTCCCACTTATCACATAAAGCCAGTTTTTACCTGAAAAAGACAGGTTTCTCAGTATCCACTTGTTGATTCCGTAGGGAAGGAGAGTAAACTTTCCTTTCAGCACCTCAAAATTGCCGCTTATTTTCTCTTCTGGAAAGCATCATTCAGAAAGCCATAATTTCCAGGAATTATGTTAAATATGTCTTAGAGTCCTGGGTCAACCAAGAAAAACTTTCACTTTCAAAGGCTTTCTCCTCTTCCTCCTGCGCATTCTTGCCCAGCTGCCGGCTTCTTTGTGGCGGCCATTACGGACCGCTGCTGCACCGTCTTGGGAAAAGGGGGTTCTGCCGGCCGGGGAGGGGGTCTGCAACACCCCCAAACCCCTCTCCGGATCCCCCCTATCTTCAGCCGCCCCTGCACCAAAAACGGAGCACCAAAAACGGCTAGCGCAGCAGGGATCACGCAGTATCGCGAATCCCTGCCGCTCGCGAAGCCGACAAACCGGAAGTTCCCCTTATTTCTCTTTCTTAATGGTATTGTGCTTGACTGGGCTTTTATAATTTCATTTTTCAGAGTTTCCCAAGCTTCTTGAGTTGTATTTCCCTTTCAGATTTTCATCCATGGAATCCTTCACAAGTTCTCTGAGTTTATTGAAATCAGTTCTTTAAATGCTAAGACACTAGTTTGACTTTGTTCTATTGTTTGTGTCTGCATTATGATGAATTCCAATATGATTCTGTTCTCCAAAAGTTCCTGCAACTTCATTGGATAACTTTAGACTAGTCCTTCTCTTTCAGCCTGATGTAACAGACAGGGTAGTTGCCATAGCAATAAAATGAAGGAAGATCTTCATGAAATAAGGAAATAATATTTCAGGACATTAAAAAATATAAAATGAATGAGGATACATACTGATCTGAAATTTCAAGGGATAGGGTCTTTAACAAAAAAAGCAGGGTCTGTATATTTCTTCCCATAATCTCCATTTTCTCTTTCAAATCAACTATACTGAATCTGTCTTTCCTTAAAATAAATTACTTATTGACTTTGATGACATTCAGTTGAATGTATAATTTGGTCATAACTCTCTAACTGGAACCAAAGCAAATTTTCCAATGAGATTGCCTAAATGTAAGCAAGTAGATAATATAACTCAAAAGGAAGAAGGTGATAAATTGAACCTACTTACAGCTTGGAAGTTTGTTTACACCATCTGTGTGTAAAGCTGCCGCTTTCTCCACTCTGACAACAATACACAATGTATAGCACTGTGGCAGAAATGTGAATTCAGGTAGAGAAGACATACTGTATGAGGGCCATAATGTGGAACTCCTGGCCATGAACTAACCATTGTACAAAACCATGGTCAAATTAATATAGCTGCTTCTCTGGTCTACAAACATAAAGGTAATGCAGTTTCCTTTTTTTTGTTTTATGATTTAGCTCACAGAAACTGGATTCCATCCTGTGGGTTTGTTTGCAATAAAGTCGCATGCTCTTCCTTCTCTTGCTGAAGTGGTACCTAATAACCATTTCCCATTATTGTAAAAGTTACAAAAAAATGTTTCGGCCTCGTCTTCCCCATGTTTGCCTATCTACCATTTGACATTCTACAAGCCCTGGGAAATTTCAATGACACAGCTTGGAATGGGTTCAGTGACCTCAATCATGCCTTCCCCACCCACTCCAAAACTCCTTTCAATTTGCAAAAAGCTTTAAGTGGACAAAACCCAGATGCCTTTTTTTTTCTTGCACTTTAGTAGGAACTCATTGGACTTGTAGATCCCTGTCAAAGTGATATATGTAGTTCATCTTCTATTAACTCTTTCCATGAGGGAAAAGATTTAAAATGTCAGCTGGAGTCCAGCGCTGTTTCTTTTCTGAGCTCCTTTATTTTGTAAATTCAGCAGTTCATCACCATTTCTTCCAAAATGAGTATTTAAAAAGTTATCACTAGTGAGTAGTTAATAAGTACGGGGCATCAAAGACATTACTTGAAAGGAAGTGCCACTGAAACCTCAGGGACTTAACAACATGGGAGGCATTTGTTTTTTGAAATGATATTCTTCTCCAAAATATATCTTTAAAATCATTAATTAGTTTCATATAAAAACGGTTGATAATAAGTTGTCTTTCATTAGTTCACTGGCGAAAAAATCCATTAATTAATGTGAGGCTCCCTAGTAAGCTGCAGTCTTGGCAAAATCCTTTGAGAATCTGCCACACTGAACTTTGTGGAATTTATTTCCAACTCAGATTGGAAATCAGTTCAGATTAGGATTTAATAGGTTTTGGGACTGAAGCTTAAGAAAGTTTAAAACTTTCTGTAATAAATATCTGAGGTACCTTCCAATCTGTGTAGAAGTCTCTCGGAACAAAAACTGATTTTATATGGCTTTTCCTAGAGCAGGGATGTCAAACTCGATTTCATTGAGGGCCGCATCAGGGCTGTGTTTGACCTCGGAGGGCCAGGGTGGGCGTGGCCAGGGTGGGCGTGGCCAGCTCGACATCACTCCTGTTGGGGGCGCCTGTGGTGGCCCGAGCACTTTGCCAGTGGAAACAGTCTCCCAAACTCTGTTTTTGGCCGCAATTGCCTTCTGCAGCCCTCTGCCAGTGAAAACGGAGCTTGGGAGGGCCACATGTGGCCTCCCGAAGGTCCCTTTTTTGTCAGCAGAGGCACCATGGGCTGGTCCTTTGCTGTTTCCAGAGTGCTCCCATGGGCCAGATCTAAGCACCCTGTGGACCGGATCTGGTCCCCTGGCCTTGAGTTTGAAATCCCTGTCCTAGAGTGTTTTCTGTCACTTGGCTGGCCTCAGGTAGAAATATAATGGCATAGGTTTAAGAATAGATTTTTTTTATATGTTATGATATATCACATAGGGGACTACAATGTATTTTTTTTTATTTTTGTTCTTTGTCTCCCTCTCTCTTCTCTCTCTTTTTTTTTTTTTTTGTCTTTTTATTTCTCAGAAACATGTGCTGTTAATAATGGAGGCTGTGACCGGACTTGCAAGGATACAGCCACAGGCGTTCGCTGCAGTTGCCCGGTTGGATTTACTTTGCAACCCGATGGGAAAACATGCAAAGGTCAGCTTCTGTTTGCTTTGCATTGCATCACTTCCCTTTACCAGCTCCAGTACCGGTGCTTCAATGCACATAAATGATAATCAAACTCATGGAGTTTTATATTCCTAAAAATCTTACTGTGTTGTTATAGACTTAGAATAACTTCGTTGTCACTTTGAATGTTGTACACTGATTGGCATACATTAAAATGAAATTTCGTTGCGCACAGCCCTCAAAGGGTCACCACCTCCAACGTACACTACATAAACATGACAAAATAAATAAATAAATATAAAATTATGCATATATCCACATATATTATAGGACATAGAGCGGGGGTGTCAAACTTAATTTCATTGAGGGCCCGCATCAGGGTTGTGTCTTACCTCCGGGGACCGAGGTGGGTGTGGCCAGGGTGGGTGTGGCCAGGTTGACGTCACTCGTGTCGGGGATGCCTGTGGCGGCCCAAGCTGGAGAAAACGGGCTCCTGAGCTCAATTTTCAGCTGTCACAACCTCCTGCAACCCCCTACCAGCGAAAATTGAGTCAGGAGGGCCGCACGTGGTCCTCCCGAACTCCATTTTTACCGGCAGAAGCACCGCGGGCCGGTCCTTTTCAGGGCGGCCCCACGGGCCAGATCTACGTACCCTGCAGGCCACATCAGGCTGTTAGGCCTTGAGTTTGACACCTCTGACATAGAGAAACAACACAGTCTAGTTCGGATGTACATGGCAAGAAAAACATATCTTGATGAGGTTTAGCTTCGCCAATGTTGCAGTACTTTTGACCTTTTCATCGTGTCTCCTATATGCTCGCAATATCTACCTTGCAGTGGTTCAACATCTCTGCAAGGTCATGGCTGCATCCAGTAAGGGTGCCAATGTTCACTGTGGGCATGCATAGTTGTGATATTTAATGTTTAGGCTAGCTTCTTTAGCCAGTTTCAATCTTGAATGGGTTGTCTATTTGTTGTGGCCGTCAGGCAAGGCTGGCGCGCATCACCTCCAGGGGACACCTTGAGGCATTGTTTGATGGACATTGTTTGTGGGGCGGGGTGGGAGGGGCCATCCAGGGGTGGGATTTGGCCATTCGCCGAACCAGCCATAACGTTAGCAATGGGTCTGCCCAAACCCAGGCAAACCCATAGCAGATCACCTCTGTCTGTATGTTATGTATCTTATGTATGAGTTTGTGCTTGTAAATATTTGTTAATTTGTTGTAGTTTTTACAATAACCCTTATTATAATATAATAATAAGGTTGGTCATTTACATCTTCAAGTGTAGATGCACACTGCCACTTAAGTCTCTAAATTACAGCAAAGAAAATTTAAAATAGGGAATGTATTGATCTAATTTGGTCAAGTGCTATCATTATGCTATCCAGTTTTTCATCAGTATAAGTTCTATGCACTTAGCTTCTAATCTTAGGTCCTAATACCTCTTCAAATGGTCATTATAGTTCCATTTATAGTACTTCTATCCATGACATTTGGGTAGTATAAAGTGCTAATTTATGTTGGTTTGAATCATGTCAGAGTCAAAGACTGTGAATGTTTATGTGGAGAGAAGGTTCACAGGACAGTGAATATTTAATTTTTCCACTTTCTGATTTAAGCCTTAAATCAGGATGGACATGCCTTCTTTTTCCACATCTACTATTAGTAAGTAAGCATCTTCAGGATTTTTTAGGTGAGCTCCAAAATGGAGCAAGTGCTTTCATCTATATTTTTAAACTATGGTCATTCTGTATGATTAGATATGAATGCTGATCCTTCACTTCTTTTATGGTGCCTATCCATTTCAGCAGAGGAACAGAAAAAGGTTGCACACCATCAACATCATGTTCTGTATTATGGAATGGATATACATTGGTGTAAATATGTGTAGGATAATATGTGCTTTATCCAAATGGGTGGTGGTAAAGGAGAATGAACTGTGCTATTCTGTATAGGGAAGCAATTTCGGGATGAAAACAATATTGCTTACCATTCCTGGAAATACTGCATATGCATATTTCAAAAGAGTCTAAAATTACTTAATGGTTCGAAATGAGAGAATTTTTCAGTTCCATTACTACCATTATTTGGATATAATAAAATATAATTAATGTAATTGTGAAATCCATTATTTACTTATTTTATTTCGATACCATCTTTGAACCAAATTAATTTGTAAGTGGAAGATGAAATATGGACATTAATTTCAGATTGATGAAAAGTTTCAAAAACAGATGTAAACGCATAAAAAAACAACAGGATTGCCTCTGTGTGCCCGTTACCTTAAATGTCTTGAAAAACTGAAGGAATTTGAATATATTTACCAAACCTATAGGATAAATCCATAATAATAATATCTCACATTCAGTCTAACATCGGACAAAGGAAACTATAATTCTATTAGTTATAAGATTAATTTAATTTAATAAGACTCAAAAAAAACAAAAAAAAAAAAAACCAGGGAGGCAATCCCCATCAAACAGTTTTCTTCTCATAGCAGACTAAATTGACATTTTGTGGTTGGGCTGTGGGGACAGTATTTCCCTGTATTGTATTTTCCCATTCAGGTGCTCACTTTGATACACTTTTTCAAAATATACTCTATATGAACTTACAAGGATTAGGGAGTTTATATGAAAGTAGTGGTATTATATCCAAATAAATAGTGCACACAGCATTATCTAGAGTTAATTTTTCATTTATCAACTGTCTCCAATAAGAAATATTTTGTGCAGATTGTAGTATTTTAATCATTTTGCTTCAGGTCCTTAATGTTTAAAAGTGTGAATAAAATACATCTGCCCCTCCCTTTCCTTTAAATAATGGATGAGATTTTCTGTTTTTCCCTTTAGAGTTATCACTGGAATTGGATTCTGCTTCAATTATGCTAGATATCCCAGGATAACCAGGCGGCCTTCTCATTTCAGTGGAGGATGAAAACTTATCCAAATTGGAAATCTTTTCAGGCCTAAAAACAACAAGCAAGATTGGCAGAATAGCAAACAGTTGTTTTTTTTTAAATTTGTCTCAGACTTCAATCTAAGTGAACTGCAGAAGCCAAATAGATTACAGAATATGCTTTGCAAAATGTCAGGTAAAGCTAGTGGGAAATGAAAATTTCCTCTCTCCTCCAACACGGGAATTTAAAATGGATCCAAATCAACAACAATACCTTTATATTCTACCTTTTATTCTCAGGCTCATGGAGCTGTATAGAGCCTTCCCACCCAATATTGTTGGCTGTGTGTTGATCTTGAAATTGATATTTATATCAATATCCACTTTGAGGATCCAGGAGTGATGGGACCTCAGAAGTAAGAGATGGGTCTAATTCGGATGTTTTAGATTTGTGTTCAGAATTCAAATTGTTATCTATATTACAGAACAGAATAACAAAGTTGAAAGGGAGCTTGAAGGTCTTCTAGTCCAGGGGTCACCAACCTTTCAGATCTCAGGGACCACTAAATTCATTTTAAATCCCACAGACCACTAATATAATCTCCCTAATGACTGGCTGGGTGAGCATGGCTAGGTGGTCATGTGACTGGGTGGATGTCACCAACTCAGTGTCACTCATGTCGAGGGGCACCTTGCCAGCCTCTACTCGCCCCTCCCCTCCCAGCCACTCCTCGCCTGCCCACCTGGGCTCTTTAGGGCCCCAACAGGAAGCCGTGTTGGAGCTAAACAGCCACCATGAAAAAGAGTTGGCAAAACAGTTCAAATTGGATCTGACCGAGAAGGAGGCTCAGCAGAAGCACCTCACTGAGGACTACAGTCATAGGCTTTCCAAGCAGAGGGAAGACCTGCGGGAGTGCAAGTCCAGGTACTGGTGCCTGGTGGCTCACTAGGCTGAGCCAGTTCCAGACCATGATGCAGTCCCACTGGAACAAGGCCCTCCGGCTCTTCGCCACCAGCAGCGCTTTCCTCCAGCCTTCGCCCAAAGCCCCGCACCAGGAGGCAGAAGCAGACCCCACTTCAGAAGTTCTGCCCCCCTCTGACCTGCACAAAAAGACCCCGAGGAGCGAGACTCGCTGCAGCAACACAAACGTTCATTGCACCTATCCAGTCCAGGGGGCATAGTTTGAGGACACCTGATTTGGTGCAATATAAAAAAGGCAAATAATTTTTCTGCGGACCACCAAAAATTTTTCGCGGGCCACCAGTGATCCACAGACCACTAGTTGGTGACTGCTGTAAACTAGTCCAACTCTCTGCGTAGGCAAGAAACCCTATACCATTTCAGACAAATGGTTGTTTAATTTCTTCTTTAAAACTTCCAGTATTCTTTTTGTGTTAATGGTATTATAAAAGGATGCCCTATCCTTGCTGCTTTCTCCTATACCAGGAGCATGCAGGGTCTGCCTCTTCCTAGTCTTTGTCTTCCCTGTGGCCCATACATAGAAGTCCCATGTATCTTATGAACACTTGCTCTAAAGCAACAGCTTGGCATTGCTTTCACTGAGCTTTGGGTTTGCCTAAGGGTGTGTAGTATCACTTTTCAATACAGTATAAGGCTAATCACAAACAGCCAAAATGCAAGAATGGACTTTTATGTCTATTTTACTTTTAGCTGAAGTGGGTTAATCATTCCTATGAGTCTGTAATGGTCACAAACTCACTGGTAACAGGGATCCATTAACATAACGTTCACCGATGGTAAACACTGGTATATATTTTGCTGTGTAGTTAAATTCATCGCTTGTAGTACCTACAGATATTGTGCCTTGAAGACATGGTCTTGTTTTGTATTGATGCTGCAGCAAGATAAATTCATGATCCTGCATATTCTTGAAAAGAGGAGAATAGTAGCATATTGTTGAAAAGAGGAGGACAAAGTGAGAATAGGAGCAAGAAAGGATTCAGAATCAATGGATGTATCCAGTACTTATCATTCTTCCAACTTCTCTAATCATCTGGACTTCTAGCTCAAGAGCCGTGATCTACATATTCTTGACTTCTGTGTAATTTTTATGCTAGGTGCTGAATCCATTCTGTGCTTAGCATGAACTACCTTGGACACAACTT